CCCTCTGTCAGTTTGTGTCTGATGTGTGTCATGAGAGTTGCCCTTTTCCGTGAAACATATTTTCTTAAATAAAATTTTTGTATTTCTTAAATAAAAATTTTGTTGTTACTTAAGGATAAATACTTTGGGAATTGACTCCCTCCAGAATGCCATATATGAAGTGTGCAAACTGTTTCTGGTGTAGTTAGGAGAATTACTTCCCTTCTTCCCATGAGAGGCATGAGCAGATGCCTGATGACCCATTCTAGAAGACATAGATACATGCAATTCTTGATCTGTGAAAAGTGGAGGGAATTTGCCAGAGAGATCCTCCTTTTTCTTACAATTCTGAAGGACATTTTTTTCCTCAATGACATTGTATTATTTCTGGAAGAGCTTCTGTCACGTGAGGAATAAAGGGAGATGTGAAAAACATCTCAAAGTATGGGATTTCGAGAGTTCAGAGCGACAGATGAGATTTGAGCAAGGATTTTAGATCCTCGCTTTATCAGCTTTTAAGAACTTATCTAGAACTCATTCCATTGCTTTTTGTTAAGCTTTTCTTTCATGGAAGGCTTGGGGGAGGTGATGATTCAGCAGAGGGTGAGTGTGGAATGAAGGACTGTTTGGCCCCTCTGGTGTCATGATCTTGTGATGTTATATATTGTAGGGAAGTCATCTTGGAACTCGTTGCTCATGGCCTCAGTACCATTTCTGTTGCAGCTCAGTAGTGACTCACTCACTTCTAATGCTGTTTGTTTAATGTAGTCCTGTCCAAGTTTTGCAAGAAAGCAGTTCATTTGAACAGAGAGAAAAATGTACCAGCTTGTCCTCCTTATCAGCTAGATGAGTGCTAGTCCTTGCTGTCTCTAGATGATGTTCCAGTCTGCACTGATCATGCAGGTAATAAAGGGTGACTCCCCCACCCCAAATATGGGAAGTGATGGACTCTGGAGTAACTAAACGCCATTTTCCTCCCAGGTCACTATACTGGAGAGTTTTATGTCAAACTGACACAGCTAAAGTCATTGTAGAGAGGGAGCCTCAACTGAAAACTGTAAGACTGGGCTATTGGCAAACCTATAGGATGTTTTCTTAATTAGTGACCGACTGGGAGGATCCAGCCCATTGTGAATGGTGCTATCCCTGGGCTGTTTGTCCTGGGTTTTACAAGAAAGCCGACTGAATAAAGCATGAGGAACAAGCCAGGAAGCAGCACCCAGCAGTGGCCTCTTTATCATTTCTTGCTTCCAGGTTCCTTCCCTGTTTGAATTCCTGTTCTGACTTCCTTCAGTGATGAACAGAGATGTGGAAGTATATACCACATAAGCCCTTTCCTTCCAAACTTGCTATTGGCCAAGGTGCTTCATTACAGCAATAGTAACCTTAAACTAGGATTATGGCTCTAACTAAACCTGTCATATGACAAAGTCAGCACCCAGAATAAAATAACATTAACTTAACCTGGTTTGGTACATTAGGAAACATTAGCACTGGAGTAAGTAGAAGAGGAAAATAGCACTTGAGACATGATTCTACAAGTACATTCGGGAGCCTCTAGCTACAGGATGGCATTTCGTGTCCCAGCCTAGCAGTTGAAAGTACAGAACTGGGTGGCAGAGGAACAGGGCTGTGCCACACTGGTTGTGTAATCCAGGGCAAAGCATCTCTCATGGCTGCAGCTTGGTTTTCCCCTCTACAAAGCAGGATTGGTGTTTTACAAAATTACATAAGTACAGCTTCCTGTGCCCCAGGCACAAGGCAAGGGTTTTCTGACATTCTCATCTGCATCCTGCAAGTATCAGGCTGGGACAACCTCTCAAAGGAAAAGAAGAAAGAAGAAAGTCACTGTAACTATTGTCCTCCTCACTCCAAAACCAGTGCGGAAACTCCTTCTCCTTCTCCTTATGGGAGAAATCCCACCACAAGAACTGACCGTGTTTAGACAGGAGAAAAGGCCATTTGTGAAAGACTTGATACTTTTCTTTCTTTAGACTTTTCGGAGCTATTTCAGGAGCACATACAAACAAAATGGTTGTAAAATCTGAAAATACGTGGGAAATATGTACTCTTGCCCTGAAGATAAGAGGAGCTATAAGAAAGGATTAATCAAACCCAAAGGAACTAGAGATAGAAATCAGGTGAGTTCTCTGCCTGCTGCTTCCAGAGCAGGACTCACTTGTAAGCACTGTGCCTAAAATAGTCTGGGTGAATGGTGCAGGTAGGTGCTACGCCACTTTTTTCTAAATGTCCCTCTAGCCTGGCATAGGAGGGTGGTTTATTCCAGGCACAGGCAGGAATTGATAATTCAGCATCATCTTCTAATTAAGAAAAAAAGCTCATGACAGAAATTTGATCACGAAAACTACAAAACCTTAAGTTTACAGCACTTGTAAAACCCATTGAACATGGAGAAGTTGACCTAGTGTCTACATAGAGCCCCTATGTTCTAGCATCTTTGGTAAGGACGGCAAGCTATTCAAAGTAAATGAAAACACAAACTCAGCCACAAACCTTGATGCACAAGGTTTCACTGCCTGCACCATATGCTAGGGCAATGGTGGCACAAAGCTTGTGGTTAGTCAATGTCTGCTTTGACTTAAGATTCATTCTGCTAGGTGGAACCCATACTTGTTACTGCTTTGGTGACCAAGGACTGAGACTATATATCACAAGGACCTAGGGTAAAACCAAATATTACTGTTCTAAAAAATGTAGTGACTCCTAATAACAGGCTGCTCTACTCATAGATCAGGGCCTTGCTCGACCATCATCAGAGAAGCTTCTCCTTGGCAGATGGGAACAAATACAGAGATCTACAGCCAGACATTATGAAGACAGTGAGAGACCTCAGAATACTCAGCTCTAAATGGAATGTCTCCATCAAATCCCTCCCTTCAAGGCATAGGGAAGGCTGTGGCAGATGAGGTGGAAGGAGTGTAAGAGCTGGAGGAGATGGAGGACACCACCACCACCACCAAACCAAGGCCCTCTAAACCATCATGAGCAAAGCTCATATGAACTCAGACTGAGGCAGCAAGCACAGGGCCTGCCTCGGTCTGTGCCAGGCCCTCTATATATTTTATTACCACCCCACAAGACTGTGGAAATCAAATAACGCTATTCTCATTATTTATTGAAGTATCTTTAGACTGTCGAAGAGTAATCAGATATATCATATTTTAAAAGAATAATTCATGTGTCAAAATGGAAAGTCTATAGCCAGAGTCAGTTGCTATTCTAGCTAAGGATCATAGTCAAATTACCATTGTTCATTATGTGCACTGAGAAATAAACAGCTGAGTTGCCTTTCTTCCTCTTAGGAATAAAGGAGTGGACTTCAAGTTTATAATATGAAGAACAAAAGTAGTCTCAGAGCATATAGTTCAAGCTTTTCAGAACAGGCTGTCAATTTTTGTCAAGTGTGAGGCTCCAGAGCTTATGCTGAAGGTAGAGATACCTGACAGATAGCACAGGGCGGCTTGCTACCGGGCTAACCTTAGATAGCCAAAGAAAAGAATGTCTCACATAAAACAATTCTGAGCATTTTGAAGCTGAGTATACAGAAATGTTTAACTATTTAGAGATCTGTATCTGCTTCTTGGAAATCGGGAGAAGGAACATATACTTGTTTTATCCATAGAGAAGCTAAATGCAAATAAAAGTTATCTCCTGATGTAGGTCAAAGCATGAGGCCCGTGTCAGCAGGGGGTGGCCCTGTTGCAGTGTAGCTCCCTTGCTGCTTTGCCCTGCTAGGTGAGAGAGAAAGGGAGAACTGGTTCTCTGGTACATTAGAGCTGGTCGCTATGTGCACAGAATGGAACATTATTTTCTTGCCTACATGGTAGTAGGAAGGATAGCGTGTATTCTTTGAAGGGCACAGGGGGAGCAGGAAGTTCTATGCCATGATTTCCAACAAGGAGGGCCAGAGCTCTTCTCCTTCATCTAGCAAACCCCCAGAGGTAGGCCGGAGTCAGTGCATGACAGAGATCAGATCAAAGATCAGACAGAAAAGGCCCCTACACCATTTCCTTGTGGTACTTAGGATGCTTACTCTTCAACTGGAGGTTTGACTGGATTCAGAATGACCTAGGAGGTACACAGTATTTCTAGGTATGCCCACGAGATGAGAGTGTTTCCAAAGATGATCAACTGAGCGGGGGTACAGCCCATCCTGAAGTGGGGTGCACTAACCCATGGGCCGGAGGCCGAGACAGAGTGAAAGCGGGGAGAAGGGAGTGTGCTCAGTCTCTGTTTCCTGGCCCCATTATGGTGTTCTGTTCTGCTCCACCATACTGTCTCATCACATCGGATTGTCTGAAACCATGAGGGAGAGTAAACCCTCCCCCAAGCTGTCTAAGAAACATAACCAATACAGTACTAAATCAAGCCAGCCAGCTTGGAGTTAAATGGCTAAAGACACAGGGTTGAATTTATTTAATCACTAAAACTGCAGTTTTAATCGGAAAGAGTTCAACAACGGGGCTTCCTAGAACTTGGATGATAGGAAGTCCGGCTTCAGGGGTTTGGAAGGGTTGAAAGCCACACTGCCTTTTCTCTTGTTTTTGGCCCTCAGCACACTGTATAGACAGACATGGAGGACGGGAGCTGGAATTCAATATATTCTGCTTTGGGGTTGGAGAGATGGCTCAGCAGTTAGAGAGCTAGGTACTGCTCTTGAAGTATGGTCCCCATCCATACCAGTGGCTCCCAGCTGCCTGTAACCACACGGAGGCCTCTGGCCTACATGAGGACCTGCGTATCTATGCACATACCCACACGCAGATATACACATAACTAAAAATAAATCTTTAAAATAAAAGGTATAAATTCTGCTTTATCTAAGTTTCCATGCATTTCTGAGACAAAGAAGATTTTGGGCAGCTCAGCTCAATTCGATTGTCCCCTTCGAAGTGTCTCCAGGAAATGGAACACGTGAAGAAAAAACACTTGTGGGTGTTATTCATTCAACTGCGGATCATCAATGCAACAGTAACCCTGGGAAGGGTGCAAACACATACATGCTCTGACGTGAAGGCAATGAGCCTGGGCACAGCAGCCATTCCTTTCTCCTTGACTTCCGGAAACATCTTGTAGCGGGCGACAAGCATGGCGTACATGTTGGAGATGGCGCCACCTGGAGGGCACAGAAACAGTTACTTTTTCTAATCTCCATCGACACTTCTCACGCCAGCAGCATTCTTTATTTCACAGGCCTACAACAGTTTCTTTCTCTGTGTGGGTCACAGCCCAGGATGGGGTCATAGGACTGAATGAGGTGGGGAGGCGGGGTTGAAAAATCTGCCGACAGTAAAACATCTCACAATATACAACGACCACAAACTATTTCAAAATCAAACATATAACGAGTCTGAGATGTTTCGGGCAGTGCTTGGCCACGTTACCTCACGCAAGGTAACTGTAACTTTGGTTCTAAACACATATAATATTCACTTGGTCTTTTGCATCATGCCACATAATATCAATGAACACTGACTGAAATGGCTTGATTCAGATATGAGATTATTGTATGTTATAAATAGCAGTGTGTGTATATATATATATATATATATATATATATATATATATATATATGACCTATAATTTCCAGGGAAAATCCTTGTAGTTTTCCTTTGAACTGCATCCTCAGATTCAAAGTACAGCTAAGATGGTTCAGAAAAGCACATTCTGAAATTTATGTATGTACTATTATGCCCATCTTGAAGAGACTTTTGAAAAGAGATGTTTTTCTTTCTTTTCTCTCTAGTTTATAAGTGTAACCAGTTGGCAGTAGGCCTATAAAATCCTGGTACTATGATAGCGGCAAATAGTTATTTCTTTTCTTTCTATAGCAATGCCTTATGCTTGGATTAAGATAAACAAACCACTGTTAAAGCTGCAGGCTGCTAATGGTTCCTAAAGAATGTGTGACAAATGTCCACGCTTATCTCATTATTCTCTGTTCATTCCTTAAACAGGTCTTTTCTTTCAAAGATGTCTCTGAGATACAATTACACTCATTAATGCAATGCTGTTTGATGATGTCGGCTCCATATGTAATTGCATTTCCTGTATTTCCCCAAGACTGTCAAGGATTTTATATGATAAAGTTTTACCCTACTCTGTAAGTAACATCTCACATGACCAGCAATGAAACTTTCTGCAGGACTATTGAGAAGCTTAGGAATTTTGATATCCAGGAAATATAAATGCACATATGTTGGCAAAGAAAACATGAGACCAGAAGACAGAGTAAAAGTGTATCCCTCTGTTCACTCCAAGGAAGAAACTCTTGGAACTATTTCCTGTATGGTTTGATCAGTCTTTTCTTGTAGTGGCTGAGGAGCAAGCAGGCTCTGCCACGTTGAAGGGCCCATACAGGGCTATGACCTTTGCATTATGAGCCCTGAACTATAATACAGGCAGGCCACTTGGTACAAAGTCACCACCAACCAGATCATGGTGTCTCTATAGTCAGAATGCAGGCAGTTACTACTACCTTGTTGAACCCTAGAGGTTCAAGACAACAGAAAACAGGTCAAGTATGTTCAGGTCTGATGCCCAGTTGAAAGACAGACACTGTGGTGGTGGACTCAAAACCAAGTTTTAGAGGATGTTTCAAGCTAGCTTATGATTTCTCAGGTCTTAGCACTAACAGACATTTTGAGCTACAGAATTCCTTTAAGGTGAGTTGTCTTAGGCTGTGTATTGGTTAGCCCCATCCGTGGCTTTCAGTTGCAAGCAGTATTTTCTTTCAAACCATGACAACTCAAAAGATCCTCAGACATTCCCAATGCTTCTTTAGGGAGGGAAGCATTGGTTTTTTCATTGAGAGCTACAGCTCTTGTTACATTCCCAGTCTGAGGGTGGGGGAGGGGAGAAAAGAAAGGAGGATGTATACAAAGAAAGCATTTTTCAAGTGTGAACTAGAAGCTTCCAGCTCTGACATCCTGCAACCTTGAGGATGATGGAGAGACTTGTGTAACAACACATGAGGATGAGGGTGGATGTTGGAATGACTATGCCAGGAAAAGACCTGTGGCTCAGCCAGGTCTTCTCCCTTAGTCCTTATCCTTTATGACCTGCCAAAGACTAGAGCGCTCTTTGATCCTCAGGTGTAGATAATATTACATATACAGAGTTCTGCTGTGGGATAAAGGTCTTTCACCTTGTAAAAATTTGTTACTATTATTGGTTTAATAAACTGCTAATTGGCCAGTAGCTGGGCAGGAAGTATAAGCAGGGTGACCAGAACAAGAGAATTCTAGGAAGATGAAAGGCTCAGTCTACAGCCGTCACCCAGACATAAAGGAAGCAAGAAGAGAATGCCTCATTGATAAAATAGGTACCAAGACACATGGCTAACACAGATAAGAATTATGGGTTAATGTAAGATATAAGAGTTAATAAGAAGTCTGATCGAATAGGCCAACCAGTTTATAATTAATATAAGCCTCTGCATGTTTTTATGGGATTGAACGGCTGCAGGATCAGGAGGGACAGAAACCTCTCTCAACAGAATTCTAGAAGTCATAGTCGAATTTCCAGGAAGTACCAAGTCTCTGGGTGCTAGTGGTGGAGATGAACAGAACTGAGCAACAATCAAAACAAGTTGAGCATTTTGTCCAAGCCAAAGACCCAACTCTTAAGATTTAGTCCTAGGAACAGAGGCACAACCTAGGTGCCTGTAATTCTGCTTTCTCTGTTCCCACCCCTTGGATCATTTGACTCTTTAGCCCAGGAGCAAGGCTAGATGCTCTCTAATGAAACATCTGCCAGCAAATAAGGATGCTATGAGCCATCACTCTTCCTTTAGGAAGTTGAGGAGAAACAGGTCCCCAATGCTTTCTCTTGCTGTCCCCTCTGACTTGGAGTATTTATATTACAACATAACATTACATCTCTGGCTTTCTCACTAAGCTGAAACATGAGTCTTCAGGCTCAAAGGAAGAATCTCCACAGTTTCCACCTAATAATTTGCCACCACCCACCAGGCCATATAGAACCTAGCAGAACCATCAAAAAGGATTTTTCCTTGGGATGTCTGTTTTCTGGAGCATGCAGGTTCCAAGACAAGGTAGATAATTAGGTATGTCTCCTATTTAGACTAGTCAAAATTTCATAGTCAACATCCTACTTCTATGAACCATTAAAATAGAAACCATGTTGTTCTTGGCATATCTCGGGGACAGCTCAGCTCCACAGTCAACCTCATAAGAGAATGAGTAAAGTAGAAATGATGCTGACATCATAACCCTGCCAACCCTACCTAGTCTTCCATGAAAATGTGTCTTAAGCATCAACTCCAGACAATAAAAACCAAGTTACAAACTTAGCCTCAAAGGAGAGTAAGCACTAAATTGCCTAGAAAATGAAAGAATCCATCACAACTATTGTTCAATGACTTGGTTTTTTTTAAAAGACTAATTTTCTGTTCCATTTAACTAGCACCTTTCCCTTTAGCATTTGAGAAAACATGATATGTACTTAAAATCATGAACTAATGGTTGAGAGGTGGTGTTAGACAGACATATGCAGTTTTGAGACCGCTGTTGTTGGGTCTTTGTTTCATCTTCACACGTTTTCTCTCTTTTCTCACTTCTCACCTATCTCTGCAGGTTTGCTTTAGAGGGATCAGAATCTGGCCATGCTTTTGTTGGCATGTGCAGATGGCCTCTCCTGTCCATCCCACCATCAGAGCGTACCGAAGACTGGCTTCCTCTTACTGATTAGGTTCTGCTCTGACACCAGACTTCTTTTGCATGGGTCAGTGACTTTTTTCATCACCCTCCTAACTTCTCTTTCATCAATGAATCAAGTCAAGGTCACAGTCGTGAGCTAAGGGCACAGCATTTGTTTCAGGTTGGTTCTATGGGCTGGGAGAGGTATAAATGTGGAACCTAGCACGTGGTGGCTGGTATAAAAGGCAAAATGGAAAACACTGGGTGCCATAAAAAAGAGAAGGAAGGAAAAATATCTCAAGGAAATCCCTACTCTCTTTCAGCTCTAAGGAATCATCTTCCATGCACTGTTTGTCCTCCTTGAAATTAGAAATTAGCCTAAACCTACTTTCTTGCTCGTTATTCCAGAGACTGGGGAAGGGAATGAGCTCAACCGAGGAAACATGCTTCAGCACACCATCACACACTGAGCCTCAGCACACACCATCACACACTGAGTGTTGTATTAAATGCCTCTTTTACATTTCACTAATTCTGGGAAATGCAGCAAGTGTGAATTTTCTAATTAGCAATTGTTATTCCTTTGTCCAGCACTATACATACATCTTATATATAGGTAGAAGTATTGGGTGACTATCTTGTCTGATTATACCATTAAGCACAAGCAACTGGCATTAGTAAGCTTGAAAGTGTGTTCAATGGATTCAGCCACACTCATTATTTTGACAAGCACACAGCCTAGGTATTCTAATCCTAACCACAAAATAGATGTTTGTTTTTCTTAAGTTTATAACATGGCATGTCAAAAGAATAAAACAGAGAAAATTTGAAATATATATACCAGGAGAAAATATTCCATCTCCAGAGCCCCCTGGCCAGCCAATGATCTCTCTCATTTTCTTTAGTGTGACATACTCTAACAGCACAAATACAGGAGCAATCTCATAGGTGAACCTGAAATGGATAAATGACAATAGTTTATGTATGTAGCTCAAATAAGTTATTTACTATTATAATATCACAGAATATTTTCTGATTTTTAAAACTTACATTCATAGATGGAAGGATTCTAACATTAAATATAAAATTATTTATAAAAGACTTTCCAAAACATTGCTCATTTTTCTGTAGCCTTCAAGCCAAGATCTTCAGTTATTGACATAAAAGATACAGGGGTAGCTTATTGTACTGAATACAGAACACAACACAGTGTGACTCTGGAAAATGCCACAGTGGGCGCTCTTCTCTTTCATATAACTTATCATTTTAAATCAGAATATTAAAAAGTCTCCTTTGTATTTTAATATTTTGCATAGTTTGATAAAATCAAAGACATATAAAGGTGTTTTTAAAATTAAGCTAGAATGAGAATACATGATGCAAAGAGGTTTACACAAAATAGATTTTTGTGTAATCAGCTACTTACATGTTAGTGTTTGCTGTTGATGTCAGCCAGTCTGCTGCCAACCCAACCATATCCAATCCAGTAGACAGCTGATTAAAATATCGGGGATGCCCTGAATAAAATGGAATTAGGATTGCAACCAGTGAAAATAAATGTCTCCCAAACACATGGTTTTTTTTTTAATAACTAAAGGATCTTGAAAGATACTTCAGTTACAAGAGATGCATATTCAGATATAATATGCAAGTGTGCCTGTGAGCACAAAGACACATGATCATGTGCACACGTGCACTCACACTCAAGCAACCCTTGCTCTAACCAGAGACTACTTAGAGTTTAGTAGTTCCCAAGACACTCTCTAAAGATCTTCTCTCAAATGGGCCCTTTAAAAATCATATGTACTTTGCAACGTGGGATTAGATTACTTCCTACTACACTTTCAATATAATTGCAAACTAAAATTTTATGGTATCCCAAATCATTACTCCCATTTGCATTGATACTGCTAACATTCTTTTGTTGAGCTGTTCCGAGAGTCAGCCACACGATGACATCCTTCAGGCATGCCAGCATTCATAATAATATCAGTGACAAATGGCTGATGATTACAAAGACAGGACAAAAATGAGAAACTAGGACACTCTGCCGAGTGATTTGCCCTGGATTCAAAGTGATGAGTGTCTAGAGATGGCGTCGACAAAGCTAATTCTTGACAGTATTCCCTGTCTGAATTGTGATTATGATCAGCAAAGCCCCCTCTTAGTTGAGATTTAGAGCAGAATTAAACACAGATCTGTGAAAAAATATAATCAATGGCTAGACTCTTCCATTAAAAGATTATCTAATAAACTTCTAGATTTCTTTAAAATTCTGCAAATGGATTGCCTTCCATATACCCCTTGAGGCTGTTATTTAAAATGTGGTTATAAATATCTCATCAGGAGTCTGTTTTCTCATCTTGTCCCATAGAAGGCTATCAATAAATCCATGTTTTGTTTAGCAACAGCAGTTTGGAAAAAAGCAAAATTCTGGAAGTAGCATCTGATTTTCAAAAAGGTATCTGTCACTTGCTGGACATCTGTCTGGTGCCTGTGATGTGAGTCTCATGTCCCAAGTGTGGGCAGAACAAGATAAAGGACAGCACTGGAAAAAATACATTGCTTATCTCAGGGACTAGAAGGCTCTCTTATCAGCTCTGGGCATGTGGCTAGAGAATTCGACAATCGGAACAGATAGCACTGGGAAGGAGCACATTTTAGAGGGACTGGAATTTTGCGACTCTAGTTAATTCTTGACATTACCTCCTTTATGACCTCAGATCATGCCTCCGCCCCTTTTTCTCTCTCTGCAGGCCCTTTGACTCTGACCTCATCAGATTACTCATTCAGAAAAGGTATAAAGTCCCTCAGCTGCAGCAGATGCTGTTGCAAGATGCCATCCCCTTCTCTCTGCCTCATTGACTCCCCATTTCATTGTAGCCTGAAGCTGACATCACAGCCTACTTCTCCCTCCAGAGGGCCCTCCACTCTGCTGTCCTGAAATCATTTTTGAGTGAGGAAATCAATTTGGATTTATAGCTTATATATATTTCTAGATGAACCTATCTATGAGCACACAGGATTTAACTCTGTGGAAATTCTGGTATGGTAACCTCTGCATAGAACTGAGAGGATGTTTAAGGTGTGCGCAGGAGCTCTGGACACCAGAACTCCAGCCAACTCTGCTTGAACAGAGATACTCTCCATGAACTAAACACAAGTCTGATGCTTCTTTCCGGGGTTCCTTCACTCTATACAGTTTTTCCCCTTGGTCTGCAATTTCATCTGACTTTCTCCTGAACCACAGCTTTCATTTACTGATAATGATGTGAAACTACAGAGGGAGGTAGCTTAACATTCAGAACAGCATGACCTTTGGGGTTCTGGCAGAAATGTCCCCCTAATTACATCTGTTCTGCTCCTGTGGCCCCTACACGCTGCCTGCAAGGGATTCCCACTGCATCCATCCAGGGCTGACTGAGAGTGTGAGGATCTGCATCTGAATCTGATAGCAGCTCCAGCAAGCCCCTGGCCCCTGTGATGTGAGCACTCTGAGAGGGCCAAATGCTCCTGTGCAGATTAGCGAACGAGTCTCAAAGGATGTGCAAAAGCTGGCACCTGGCAAATGAAACCTGATGCTCACAGTCGCTTGGAGAGGAGCCAAAAATCCTCTAAAACTGCTTTTTGTAAACTGACAACCTGCAGAAGGATGCTCCTTGGTTTTCTTTGTTTAAGGGCTCTCTTAAAGATTGAAGACTACATTAGCATTACCCTGTTTGGCCACCGCAGCTAAAGACGCAGGAATTGTCTAGATTCCCACCGTTTACTGAAGCTTCTAGTTCTAGTGTCTCTCGACAAGTGATTTGAACAGGCACCTCATTTAAGTCTTCCTTACTGCCCTCCAATCCTTTCTAAAGTTGGAGGCCAAAGGGAAATCAGGCTAAGGACTGTTATCAGAGACTAAGCAACATTTTATAAGATGATCTCTCAAGGATCATAAGAATACCGAATGATAACAGGGAGGGTAACTGCTTTGACGGATTGTGTAATTCCAGCTGACAAACAGAATATTAACAGCATAATAAGCCATAAGTTTGATAGTTGGAGACAAAAAGCTGCTTGCTGATGATTTTTTAAAGTGCTATTTGGGGATGTATAGAGAGAAGACAAAATATGGTATGAATAATATTGAGATATTCATCTTAATTCATCAGATTTTTATCTTCACTTTAAATAAAATGCACCACAGCAACATTTGACTAGCAGTTTTACAAAAATATATAGCAAAAAAAAATATCTAGGCATTTCATTGATCCACTCATTTCCCTCGACAGCATTAGAGCACTGGTATACAGAACTATTACTTCCATTGACTGGCAGAACCCATTAGCTTAATTCTAAATTGAATTTCAAAGATGACCAGCTTTTAAGAATGAAGATGTAAAATAAAAAAGTACCTATTCTTTTTTATTTGTGAGCAACATAAACAATATGTAGCAATTTGCCATTAGTGAATTTAAATGTCAAATATGGGGGATGGGTTATGCAGAAAAGAATTAAAACCTTTTCTCAAGCTTGCACAGAAGGATCCATGAAAAATAAGGAGAAACAGAGTATCAATCATTTCATGCCTGGCATGCGTATCCTACTGGTTTTCAACAGTGATGATGATGATATCTAACTGATGATATCTAACAAATCTCCAAAAATTATAATCCACAGAAATAAATCAACAAGTTAAGCTCATTTCCCCTTATATCTATTTCCAAGTCTTCCAAAATGGACAATAATTACACAATAAATCAGTTTCCCAAGGCTTTTATGCAAACCTTTCTCCTCTGATGATATAAAGAATGTTTGGGGGGGAGGAGATTAAACTGCTTTTGTAGCAAATGTTCTTAAAATGTTTGTCATTTGTTATACTAATAAATCACCCAGAAAATGGTAGCATAAATATAACATTTGCATGACTAATGATTCCTTAATATTTCACATTTATTAGTTACCAGTAAATCTTTTTAATTGTACGAATCACTGTAGATCCTTCAGCCTTCCCTACTCCACCTCAGGAAGGCATTCATATTTATCACTTTTAATTTGTTTCATTGTGTATCAAAATGATTAGATACAATGTAGAAAAAAGCAGAACTCTCAGGAAGAAAGCTTGGAAAGTACTCGAATGTAGCATCTGGAACAACATCATCATTTTTTCCTGTTTCAAAGGATGCTGTGAGAATCAGATATTCTTATTCACGTGCACAGCCAACGCGAAGGAGAAAAATCCTTATGTAATACCTCTGAACTGCTAAGCTAGTCTATATTGTGGTGTGTGTGTGTGTGTGTGTGTGTGTGTGTGTGTTTGTGCACGCTCGCACTTCTTTCAAAACAGGAGAAAAACTGGAGTTGAAACCTAAGGTTTAGTCACTTGAAGCAATGCCACAGCATTCTCCCTCCAGCCTGAAGACTGTATAAGATGGTTAGTTGGGACTCTTGCCAGCAGCACCCTGGAGTTCAGGCTTACAGGACTGCACCTGTAGTCTTCACAGCTCTCATTTTCTCCGTTTTGGGCCACTCCTACCGGCCCCTAGTGACAAATGGTTTCTACAACCTCGGATTCATCTCCCTGCCACTCTTCAGATTTATACCCAACGACGGCTCTGACATGGTCAACAAGGTGCTTTTGGATTACTCTAATAATGACTATTTTTAAACAAATGCAATTTTGAAATTTTGATAATGACACGACCCAGTAGAACAGGAACAATTTTATAGAAAAAAAATGAAAATTGCAAAACAAAAAAGCTTTATTATTGCTTGTTGCACAATACCTGTTTTAATTGCATATTTTAGAGTTGTTTGGCAATGCGTCAAAATTTCCTCCAAATTTTGTGGTTGGTCTGCTAATTCCCAATTATATTCTTGAAGGAGCTCGTTGGGGTAGTGGAAATCAATTACTTTAGTTGATCTATCGAAACTTTTCACCACATACTGAAGCAAAATGTTCATAACATCTTGCAGAAACGCCAGAGTGGGCCTCTCTCCATCACACGCTGGTAGCAGGTCTGAAGAATGGAATGGAAAGGGTGCTTTAGATTTCACTACGCAAAGATCTAGGCAATTTCTCTTTGAGTTGAATTTATTGGCACTGGAATCTCAGTGTTTGGGAGGGAGGATGAGGCAAGGAGGATCTCTGGGAGTTGGAGATTAGATCTGGTTTAAGGGCGAGAAGACCCCATTTCAAACAAAAAACACAGCATCTGGAAACACAAGCGGACAAAACCGCCTTCGGAAATTAAATTTTGCATTTTTATTCCTAACATGGTATCATGTTTGGTTTATTCTTTTTATTTTTTTTTTAAATGGCTCGACTTGTCCGTTTCACAGGCATTTGTCCTAAATGTTATGAGTAATCATTTCAATTGTCAAGACTCCACGTTGGGAATGTTTGAGAAATGCCTTCGTGCAAACCAGGAAAAGTCAATCTTGCGAAGTCATGATCTCTGACTTCTGAAGGCCAGATGTTGCCAAAGTTGGGGTGTGTGAGTGTGTGTGAGCGCACTTTCACGCTGTCTGGGAGACTGGGAATCATGCAAGCTGAGATAAAATTTAGCGCCCAGGGCTCACGTAAACAGAATCGTTCCTCAGTGAAATTTCACGGTTACAAATTGCTCTGGATCCAATCGAACACCTGAAAAATATTCCTGTGATTCCGAATTATCTGGGAGGACACCTGGAAATTTGCTCTACTTAGAGACTGGGGCAGCGCAGAGAAGCCCCGCAAGCCGAGGCCGCTGCCATCCCCAATTCTGAAGGCTGCGCTGGCGCCAGGCGTTGTGGCCGCCGCCGACTCTTGTTCGGAAACGCTGGGAGGGCCGGGTTCTCGGTGCGCTCCAGCCCCCGGACCCAACGCTCTTCCAGTTCCATGCAAGATTCCCAGAGAGCCCGCCCCCACCGTCCTGGGGGTCAGGCGTCGCCCGGAAGGAGCGCGGTCCTGGCCAGCCGGCGCCCTTTTACCTGTTGCGTGCAGAAATGCGTAGTTGACATCCGCTTTGGGGCAGCTGCAGGGTTTTTGGTCGCAGGTGCAGGCGACCTTTCGAGTGGCGGTCCGCGGGGCCACGCTCCCGCCGCTCTCTGCTGGCTTCTCAGAGTCTCCATAGAGCAGAGCTAGACAAGGACACGGAGCGCGGGGCCTGGTCAGCCGGCGACGGTCTGGCTCCCGCATCCCCGCCCATCCGCAGCCTAGGCTCGGCGACATCGCTCCGCCAGCGCTAGCCCCCGACCTTGCCCGCCCTTCTCCCCAGCGCGCCACCACTCACCGCACAGCTTGTTTCCGATGCCGCCGGTGAACTTTTGAGCTACCTGGCACCAAGCTCTCGCTGCGATAGCCAGGCAGAGGGACAGTGGAGTGGAAAGAGAACAGACGGGCGAGTGAAATTTCGTTCCAAGTGAACGAGGTCTTTAGTCAGGCGTCTGGGAATCCGGCTCCAACCTCGCAAGCGGCCGCGGGCGACTCTGTTCTCAGCAGGTGGGGTAGCCCGGGGGAACCTGACTCCTGGGCTAGCCCTGGCTTCCCCGTGTCCCACACCACCACCCTTCGCACTTGTTCACCAGGTGCGCAGGTTTCCCGACCCTCCCTGCTGCGCCAGAACTGCCTTTCCTAGACCCCGGGCTAGCCATTTCGTCGTGCATGCCTTCCCGACCCTAAACTACTCCTCATTTCGTCTTTCTTTGCCCTATTCCTTCCCTGTCCAGGGTCTAGAGGTCCCAAAGCAAAGCCCCCCACCCCCACCCCCGTCCTTGAAGTCCATCGATTCCCTCAAACGCTGCGATCTTTCAGGAGTCTATGCTTAGGGGAATGGGCTGAGATATCCTGGGCATCTTCCCAGGGGACAAAAGACTGCGGAAGTTTGGGGTTCTCACACAGTTAAGGACTTAACCCAGGTAGCAGGGCGAAGCGTCCGAATAAGTTTCCTGTTGCAGATGTCAAAGCTCTGATCATCTGCGCAACCCTGCAAACCCCAAGCCGGCTATCCACAAAGCTCTCCCGCTGCAGATCTCTATTGTCCTACCTGTACCCTGGTTCTCGGGATCCCCAGAGCCATCTTCAGATCCGAAGGACCAAAAGCCGGAGCCGGGAGAGGCCATGGGCTCTGCGAGACTGGCGCCGGTCGCCTCCGAGTGGATGCAGGAGAGCTGGCTTTGGCTCGACCCTGCACGCGCGTGCGTGTGTGAGTGTGTGTGTGTGGCGGGAGGAGGGCAACGCTCGGGGACTGGCGCGTCCGCGAGACGAGGGTGGGTGTCACACAGGGACAGGAAACGTGCTGTCTGCGTGTGCCGGTGCTCGTGCGTATGTGTTCCAGTCAGAGCGTATGGACGCGGCTGTGCTGTTCGCCGTAGCTAAACGGAGAAGTCGCCAGGATCTTCGCAGTCTAAAGAATGGAAAGTGGAAAGGGCCCAAGAGATTTTTAGGGAGAGGAAGCTCGGTGGGGAGATAAGGGAGTGACGGAGGGGAAATGGAGGAGCTGAATCGTGAGGTGCGAGGCTGTGCAGTTGTAGCGCGAGTCAGCTGCGGGGGAGGGAGTCGTGCTTGCGCAAGGCTGACCCAGCCACAGGCGCTCCCCGCTTCCCGCTTCTACTCGGACGCGCTGTCCAGGGTGCTACCGCAGCCGGCTGCACTCTGGCCCTGGTGACGGGGAGACCAGGGAGACCTTGGAGGGGTTGGAAGGGTGACCGAGACCGATTTTTACGTGTGCATCGATTGGTTCATTGTTTGAGGGCTGACTCTGACTGCGGACAAGCAAAAACAGTTCTTGCGCCCTCCTTTCTCCAAACTGGCGCCGAGGTCGCTGTGACCTCAAGAGCCCAGGCCACCTGGCTGCAATCAGGCACAGTTTCAAAGCGTGGGGAAGGTACCAAGGAGAGAGGGAGGTGGGCCGCCTACACACCGACGGACTCATTTTATCCCCTTTGCAGAGCTTAGCGTCTGCCTGCTGAGCTGAGCCAGCCTCGGGGCGCAGGGTTCCTGTGCAGTCATGCGCTGGGTCCCCGGACCCACTGTCCAGATTTTGACTGACGGCTGAAGAGAAAGACTGCTGATTGAAGCAATTAAAATCCACGCTGGAGTCTATCACTGAGGACCTCGGGCTGAGAAAAATTAAATAAATAAAACGAACAGAAACTTCTTGAATAGGAACGGGGAGAGCTGACACAGCCCACAGGATTGATGGTTGATGGGGGAGGGGATCCGGTTACTAGGTGACCTTGGCCTATAGAGGCGTGAAACAGCCTACTGTTTGTGCGGGACACAAACACGCGGGTGCATAGGAGGCGTGCAGGGGGTTTCCAAGTAAGCAAATCAGACTTTCAAATACCAGAAAAAAATGCATTCCCTCTTTTCAGGGGGACTCAAACCAATGACCTCCCCTCCCAAAAGGAATCCTTAAGGTCGGGACGGGGGTTGCCTAAGAATATAAAATTGTCAACTTCCAGGTCCTGAGAGCAGTAGTTCTGCTTTTTCTAATGAAGAATGAAACGATCCTTTCTGTTTTCCTTTCCCTAAAGGTTCGTAAACAGCAGCAGCACCTGGAGGATTTGGGGCCCTTGGACTTAGCTCTGGTCTACACTGTAACTATGACTCCTGGCTTACCGAGAGCTCAAGAAAGACTGGCAGGAAAGCGCTGGTTTCAGCCATTCCCAATCGCCTTCCCTGGGCGCCCTGAGCTAGTGCCAGCCTTTTCTGTAGTCCCCACAGCCCTTCATTCCTTCTCTGAATTTTTAAAACAGGCACCAAAGCTGTTTCCAGAGCAGGGACCCTGGAGCCTTCTGTCTTGGCGACAAGGGTGACTTGTTTTGTTAGGGATCCTGCGTCCTAGGGTGGCTGTGCTGATGCCCAAGTCTTGGGTCTCCAAGTGCATCTCTCCCCAAAGTTTTATCTTCTTCCCATGTGTCCGAATCCAGGGGCCCATGGAGGAGCTAGCTAGTGGATGCCCACTGAAATTGCAGGATCCCTGGTTGCAATTGGCACTGTTGGGTACAGCCCGAGGCAGTCTCTAAGCTTACTCTGGCGAGAAGCAGGAGCATGGCCAAGGAAGGCTGTAATCTTGACCCTAGGACTCAGCTTGGTCAGTCTTTAGGGCTCTCCTGGACTGATCGCTCAGCTGGCAGAGGCAAAACCTGGAATGCCTTGGCTCCGATGTCTGCTGGGCGCTTGTTCCTTCAAGCTTTGCCGATATGACTCGGGTTCTTTGTTTAAATCCATACCAAATCCTGCAAATAATTTGCTTCAGGCCAGCTGGCTGGGGTTGAGGTTGTTTTTTTTTTTTCCTATGGATGAGTGGTTTGAAATAAAAAGGTTCATAAACACACACACACACACACACACACACACACACACACACACACACACA